AGGCATCATCCACTGACTGCTATCAGCACATCAGGGATCAGACAGGAAGTCCACAGGGAGTGGTGTGACATCACCTGGAGCTTCTCAGTGCATGTACCACAGAACACCTTAGAGATTCACTGCTGGGTGTTTGGTTGGTCCCCCAGAGGGATGGCAAAGGGTCTTTCAAGGAGGTGACAGTGAGTTTGCCTTGGAGTTGAAAATAGGCTTGCATTGGCTTTTAGAATCCACCAGTGCCAGCAGAAATGTTGTCATGAACGTTTTCTGAAAATTTATTGAACAGCTCCCAGACAATGGGTCTAACTAGGACAGGTCGCCATCAGAGAAGAAAATTCCATATTCTCCCAAGTTGTTTGAAACACTCCACATCCCCTTGTTTTCCTAATGTTCTGAGACATAATTAGGTGCGTGTATTACTTATTTTGTAAATATTGACATCTGACATATTGGTTATAGAATCTGCTTCAGATAAAATGGTGCCACAACTGTTGTGGATAACACTTTATTATCAGTCATTTTGCATACCAGCCACAGCGTAAACAAAAAAACGTTACAAGCCTTTCTGCCTAATTGATTATGCACACTGATTACCTTTACGTTGCCATCTCGGTTTTCAAATAAATCACACCAGCTCCATGCACAAGTTTCTAGTAGTTCAGGACAGGATGCACAAACCCATGGGGGTGCGTAAGAATACGAGGGCCAGAGGACAACTTTCAGGATCAATCCTCAGGCCTCTCTGTTCTGTTTCCTTTTAAGACAGAGTCTCTCAGTAGCCTGAAACTCACAGGTTTTATTGACTGGCAGGCCAATGAATGATCCACAGGAATATATCTGTCTCCACCTCCTCAGTGCTGGGATGATATGTGAGCAATGGCACACCTGGGTTTTCTTTTTCTTCTAACATGTTTTCTAAGGATTACACTCAGCTTCCTATGATTGCAAAGCAAGCTCTTTACTCACCCAGCCACCTCTACTTTCCTTAATCCTTATGTGGGGAAAAAAGCACTGCTCAGTGTGGCGCAGCCCCAAACATACCTCTGCAGATGGGTGTGGTCAAGCCCACATAGGCCACAGGTCCTTGTCCACATCTATACCTCTGCATACCATTTTAACATTGCCATCTCCATTTGCATTATGCAAGCAGACTGATTATCTATAATGACCGAACAGCAGATAAACAGGCAGGCTAAGATATTTTTTTTCCAAAAATAGGACCACAGTACATTATTTTTATAAAAATGATTAAATTCCATCTATAACTAACAGCCCAAAGGCGATTCGTGGCATGGACTACTCTCTTCTAGTTTTTGCTCTAATATGTGCCTACAGAACAGACTTTCAATGTTCTAAACGTGATTATGTAGAACAGGCAGCAGTTGCCACCCTCACATTTCAATTTAAATCCTTTGTTTGTCTCAATTTTACACAGGGTGGGTTTCCCATGTGGTGAACCTAATGAAGGAAATGGCATTAGCTCTCCCCTTCCTTGATGCCTGAGGTTGAAGTTATATTTAGTTTGCCCTCCATCAAAGTTACATTCAGTTCCCTTTTTCTCCCCCCAAAGCGCCTCATTCCAGCAAGTTTGTTGTTGATTTCCATCTTTATTCTGTGTGGACATTCCTTACCCATATGGTGCTCTCACACGTGGATGCCACACTCGGTCTAGGGGAGAAGGCTGGGTCTCCTTCCCTCAGAATCTCAGAGAAAATATACACTGTTCTCACAGCGTGCCCATGGGTGTTCAGTGGGCCACTGTCTTTTTGGAGAAGTTAGTTATTTTTATTAAACAGTTTTTTTTTTTTTCTGAAAGGAACATATGGGCCTTCCTCTGTGTCCTTCTTCTTTAAGGAGAGTTTTTCTTTTTTCTTTTTTTTTTTACAGTAAGGCCTTCCCCCTCACTCCCCATTTGGGCATGTAGTATTCCTGGCTCACTCTTTCTTCCTCTGAAAAATTAGTAGAAATGACTCCATCACCAGACTGCTGGCATCCAGGCGCGTTGCTAGGAACAAACGTGAGGCAAGACTAATTTCACCACTCTTAGAGAGCTGGAGTTTCCTGCTCAGAGCACTAAAATAATTTTTTTGCCTCCTTCCCTCCCTCCTTCCTCCTGTTCTTGCTTCTTTTCTGGATGTTAAGTGCGTGTAACTAGATTGTAGATTAATCACTGAGGTTCACAAGAACACGGGGGTCCACACACAGACCACGTCGTTTATTTGCCAAATTATTTATTTAGTGTCTTCTCATAAGTATGCATAAGCCTGCCATGAAAAACAGATGTCAGGACCTGGAACACAACCTGGGTCTCACCATTCTGTCTCTTGCATCCCATGCTTTCGAGACCCCACCCCCCACCCCACGGGAGGTGACACTCAGGCTTAATGCTCACTATTCATGGGCAGACTTGCTGGCATGGCTTCAATATATAAATACTTTCATGTGTTTTTATCTTCGTGTCCTTAAGTTCACAATATGTGTCATGCACAGCTTTTCAGGATTACTATATTTACTTAAAAATTACATTACTAAGGTTTAGCCTCATCTCTGGGTCTCTGTGATATTAACTCGTTTCTAGTGGTGCAAAATGTATGGCGGGTTATTTGTCTTCCTCTTCAAGATTGTTGCCAGGACATAGCTTGGTGGTAGAGTGCTGGCTGGTACAACGGAAACTCCGAGGTCAGTTCTCAGGACTATAAAAAAAGAATCCTTTCAAAATTTTTGCTTTGTTAGAGTCCTGATGCCATTATCCCTGTACAACTTCTTTAGTCACAGTAGAATGGGCATGAGGTCTCCACGATTCTTGACTTGGGCTTCTTGCCCACTGTAGACTTGACTGGTGTCCCCGCAGACTTGTTCAGTATCTCCCTTTCCTCTCTACCAGGTCTTTGTATATTGTTCTCTTGAGCTTATGGTTTTCTTACTGGTTTGTAGAATTCCCATACAAGTTCTGAATTATTTTTTGTCAGCTGAAATTATAGAAAATCTTCCCTCCATGCTGAAACCCTGCCACTCATTTCTTCAACTTATGCATATCGCCCAAAAGTTTGTGATTTTTCCCCTTCCCTTAGTGAAGACTTAGCAAGATGTAGCAGAAAACAGGTAAATCCAAGGAGGAAAAGCTAGTTTGTAAGGCCAGACTAAAAGGAGCGAGAGAAAAATGGAAATCAAGGCCTTGTGATGATTTCTACCTGCTTTTCTCTAGAACTAGTAAGAAATCTATAGTGAGGCAGTCAGCAGGAGAGACAGGTTCATTCACTGGATGGTGGAGACCAATGATCCCTTGACTCTGTGGACTGAAGGCCATAACAGTGGATGGTTCCTTTGAGGCCTTGGATTGTTAAGGCTGATGTCGAGGACTGCAGTGCTACTCTGAAGGCCTGAGAAATAGCAACACTCAAGGCTGATCAGTATCTCAGCTCCAGCCATGAGAAAAAGGCCTGATCATCCCTTTCTCTGCCCCCTTCTGTTGGCCATCAACATCTTGGATGATGTTCATATGCACTTTCCTAGGCTTACAGATTGCAGCACTAATCTCTTCCAGGAATAACACACCCAGAGTAACATTCGGAGATCTAGACAGCCATTACCTAGGCTGATACATAAAACTATTAGAAACATACAAAAAGGATATTTAGTAACCTTTATTTTTTGAGACAAGGTCTCCTGTAGCTCAGGCTAGCTTCAAACTACAACTTCTGGTGCTCCGGCTTCTTACAAGTGCTGGGGTGACAGGTGACAGCTTCCTGGTGTCTGCAATGCAGGAGAATGAACCAGGGCAAGCACTCTACTCATTAAATTATGTCTTCAACCCACCGTCAGTGATTCTTAACATAGCTTTAATGTAAGAATATCCAATCCCATGAACACTAAGGATTTAAGTTGAACATAATAATCTGTCCCCTAGTTAACTATCTGATTGGAGATTGGGAACAAAGTACTCTGGATAGAGGTGTTTGAAGGGACCCAAGAGTGGGCAACAGGGAGAAGGTCCTGTATCTCACATTAACACCTTCCAGAAGATATTTTGAAAGACCAAATCAACTAAAGGTCCCTTCCAATCTATATAGTCAAGCCTCCAGTGCCTTCCACATGAGCACTTTCACATGGGCAAATGAGCAGAGGGACCATTGGTAAGCCCACAACAGTCTAAGAGCTTTGAAACACAGGACGCCTGTCCCAGGACAGGCAGGGACTAGGCTTGAAAGAATCCAGGTGGGTATTCAGGTGGCAATTCAGGCGGCACTGGATTATGAGTTGTATGCAATCTAGCTAGGCGTGAGTCTTGCTTGAATCATTGGCAAGCCAGGGTTGTGTGCTGTAGCCACCAGCATTGGCGAAATAACACAGGGCACTTTAGAGCTCTTCAGCTTTTATACACACACACACACACACACACACACACACACACACACACACACACATACACATATGAACCCTTGTATGCCTTTGTATAGCATGCATATGGACCTGCGAATACCTTTTTATAGCACATATATAGATTCACGCATGCCTTTGTGTAGCAAGCATGTAGGCCTCTGTGTGCCTTTATATACCACGCATGTAGACTCTTCAATGTCTTTATATAGTGTGAATGTAGACCCATGTATGTACATGCCTTTGGATAGCAATCGTACACATCTGGGAATGCCTTTGAGTAGCAATCATACAGACCTGTGCATGTATTTGAATATCAATCATATAGACCTGTGCATGCCTTTGGATAGCAAATCATATAGACCTGTGTATGTCTTTGGATATCAATCATATGGACCTGTGCATGCCTTTGGGTAGCAATCATATAGACCTGTGCATACTTTTGGATAGCAATCATATAGACCTGTGCATGCTTTTGGATAGCAACCATATAGACCTGGGCATGCCTTTGGATAGCAAACATACAGAACTGGGCATGCTTTTGGATAACAATCATATAGACCTGTGTGTGCTTTTGGATAGCAATCATATAGAACTATGCATGCCTTTGGATAGCAATCATATACCTTGGCATGCCTTTGGGTAGCACACATGTCTGTCCACAGCAAAAAGATGTCACCACTGCAGAACTTTGCTCTTGGCAGAAATGTTGACACTTTCCAAAGGGACGCATGATTGCTTCTTGGTTCCTTTCTTCACAAGGTATTAATTAGCCCCTGGGGAACAAAACCATAAAGTGGCTTATAGCTTAGGGAAGTAGTGCTTTGACTCTTCCTGTTGGCCAGAGCACTGATAAATGCTTTTAATTAGTCTTATGACTCTCTTATTGAAATATATGTCACTGATACTAAGTACCAATTGTCAGAGAGCCTCCAGTCCTCAGTGGAGGGCTACTAGGACACCGAGTTAAGACAAAGCTGCTTAGCCTGCCACGTGATGCCTTTGACTGCCTGCTAATCCTGCTAGCCTCCTCCCTGGTGGACTTCACTTCCATTTCACTCCAGCTGCACTGACATGTAACAATTCTTAAGCCATGTAGGCCCCTGTTTTGACTTCCCTGTGCCTCTGTATAGATGTCTTCTGCTTAGAAGTGTATTTCCCCAATGCCCCTTCCAGAAGGATGCCCACTGTTCATCCCTTACTTGCATCCAGAGCACTCCATGTTTATGGATAGTAGTGCTGTTACCTTAAGCCACAGAGATGCTTACTGGCTGATCTGCCCACGGCAGGGATGTGAGAGCATCTACTGTATTTTCTTCAGTCCAAGCATGCAGCCCTCAGACGAAGGAATAAAAGGATCCTGGGAGGTAGGAAGGACATTGAAATAGAACCCAGGACTGGGGTTAATTTGGACTGTTCAGCAGTATCTTGGAAATCTTTCTCTGTCTCCACTTTAGACCTTCAGGCAGGGTGCCCACCCTCACTTTCAAGGATCTTAATAGGCATCTAAGCCTGGTGTTTGGAGTAAAGCCAGTCTGCTTTTCCACAGAAGCAGATTAGCCTTTATCACTCACTGTGTGGAGGTCAGCAAGTGTCCCAGGCCCTGTTTTCAAGCTTTGCTTCCTCTGTAAAATGGGAATCATAAAGTAGTGAATTTCAGGAAACTTTCTTTTGATAATTCATGCCTGATGTGATGTACCCCTGTGGTCCTAGGACTGAGGAGGCAGAAGGAATCAGAAAGACCTCAAATTCAGGGCCAGCCTCCACTTCATAGTAAGGAGGAGGATGAAGAGGGGGGAAGAAGAGAACTAGGAAAGCACCCCGAGGAAGAAGGAATAAATGTATAGATGCATACATTGACTTGACATAACCATGCTAATGATTAGCTGTTATTTATACAACAAATGGAGGAGTTAAAGGTTATCTTTGGATATATAGCAAGTTTGAGACCAGGCTGTATTACACAAAATTATGTCTAGAAATGAAGGAAGGAAGAAAGAAAAGAAGAGAACGTGAAGGAGAGAAAGGAGGAGAGGAGAAGAGGGTAAGGGAGGAGGGGAAAGACCTGAATTCTAATCCTACCATTATGGAGTGTCAGTTTTCGGTCTTTGGAACATAATCAAAGTCTCTGGTTTGGTTCTTCTTTGCAGTTAATCTTTAAAGTGATTAAGCACCTGTACTGGTATTGGGAAGAGAGGCAACCAACCAAGAGGCAGAGCTGTACTCCTGACCCCCAGGAGTACAGCTCTGATGACAGCATTTTCCCACTTGCTCCCTTTCATGGGTCACATTGCCCACCAAAGAACTTGCAAAGCCGTCAGCCCAGCTTACCCTTCCCTTCGTTTCCAGGGCGTCCGGTTTCAGCCCCTTGCTCCAGCCGTGGAACCACCACCACACCTACCTTTGTTACCTTTATTTACACATCTCAACCCGTCAGCATCCTAGCTGGACCTTTTCAGGAGGCTCTGATTTAATAGTTACCAGTCTGCGTTCATTTTTCTGTTATTATACCTGGGTGTGGGCACTTTATCATGAGGGGGACTTATCTCATAAACCCAGAGTTTAAGAAGTTTACAAGCATAGCACAGAGGTTTACTTGGCATCTCACTGTGCTGTGACAGGGCAAGGGGTGCCCTGTGATAGGACAGAGCAGCCATACTACCTTTATTTTGAAACAGGGTCTCCTGCATCCTAAGCTGGTCTACATAGCCAAGGATAGCCCTAAAATTTTTACCCTTCCTGCTCTCGTTTCCGGGGTTCTGGGATTATGGGTTAACTGGGGCTCAAATTCGGGGTTTCCTACATGGTAAGTGAATACTCTACCAACTGAGCCACACCCCCAGCTCCTCTGCTCTTCTTAAAAGCCACAGATGGAGCCAAGGTCCCCACACCCAGGACCTCATCTAGTCCATATTTTCTCCCAATGGACCCTCTCTAAAAAACATGGACATTGGATTTTGAGGCGTGATTACAGCACATAATCTTTGAAGGTACACCTTCAAACCATTACCTTTCTCTGTTTTCAGACTTCCTGAAAAAGAAAGGGCATTTGCATGTAATTCCTGCCTCACGTAGAGAGACATTTTTAATGAAGCTCAGTTCTCCGCATCTTCATGTTTCCTTTTGGTGTAAGCACACATCTTGACTCTCCATGGGAGGAAATAGGTGCAGACTAAAATCTTGTTTTTGCATTAAACTGTTCAGCAAGGAGAGAGAGCTGAGTGAATGTTGCCCAATGAGAAATGGAAACTAGAAATCAAAGCTGAAGGCTTTGTTGGATTGGGAGGGTGGGGGTTGTTTCTGCTTGACTTGCCTGGCTGGTCAGAACACATTTTGAATCAGGAACTTGGCTAGAAAAAAAATACAGTTTAGCACAGAGAAATTCTTACTCACCTTCATCCTCCACAAAGCTTGCCCCAAGCTGTGATCTCTCTGTAGGCAATTTCATGTCAATACATATGCAGGAGAGTAAGTGCCACCCGGAGGAGAGAGAGATTTCATTCCCTGGGGAAGCTGGCAGGATGCTGAGCTGGGTAAACATTGGACCACTTTTCCTTATTATTATCTGAGGAGATGTCACCGAGGCGCTCCAGCCCCTCTGGATTGTTTCATGTTTTTACTCTGCCGTTTTGTACTTTATGTCTTTTATTTTTATTATTTTATCCTCATTTTGTACGTTGGAGATCGGATTGTAGCAATAATAAGGAAATCTATTTATTTGGTCCTGGAGGCAAAATTCTGAATATATATATATATATTCTTTCTTAGCAGACCCTAACCATATTGGTTCTTCCTGGTACTGGATTTGATTAGATTTCTTGGAATGAAGCATCAAAGATCTGGGAATTATGTCTCTAAACTCAAGAGCAGACAGAGCAGCCATGTGCTTGCAGGGAATGCATACTTGCAGAGACTCCATTTAATATCCTTCCCAGGACCAACATTCATGCCTCAAACCGCATTCAAAGTGATAAGTCTAACAGAAAGACCTGGAATATCTTAACTACTTGTTTATATCTCTAGAATAGATCAAATATTAACAGGATGTAAGTCTACACAGACTCACATGTATACACTTTTATCAGTCTCCTGGGACAACTGAAGACAGGAAGGTCCCCAGACTTACAGAGATCTGGAGTATTTATACTTCTTCCCAATCACAGCCAAACCATGTGTAGTTATCTGCAGAAAACTGGGTTTGGGGAGTCTGGATCTATGAAGTTGTTTGTGATTTTTGTTTGCTTGTTTTCTTTGCTACACAGTCCACAGTCCAAAAGTAGTAGTCACCTGGGAAACCGTTCCAAGATGCCTTGAAGAATTTGACTTAATATTTAAAATAATTCTTTTTGTGTGAATTTCCAAATACATACGTGTTGGTTGAATTTCTAGGCTGGATGAGTGGGGCTTGAAAAATCCCAATCCATGTAAACACCATCCTGTGAGCTGGGGCACACAAAATAAAAGGAGGAAAGAGCCAGGGTACCAGCATGGCCCTCGCTCTGCTTCTGGAATGTGAATGCAATGCGGTCAGCTGCTCACTTTGCCTTTCCCACCTGAAACTGAGAGCCAGAGCAAACCCTTCTTCCCCAAGATGCTTTCATTCATTTTTTTCCCTCCTACAACAATGAAAACAGGCTAAGGTGACACAGGCACATACTTCAAATGTCTTCTTGGAGCATAACCTGTTTAAGTGTGTGTCATAAGTCTGTCGGCATCACCACGACTATCACACTCCTGTGATACTCCCCAGTGCCAACATGCGGAACCTGCAGACTTCCAACAGCCTCTTCAGCAACTGATTTCACAACCTTTCTTGGGCTGGATGACCCTGCTGTGGAACTGTGGGAGGGATGAGAAGAGGTGGGTGACGTGAGGCACTATCACATGGAGATGTGTGATTCCGTAGTGTCCAGGAGGCTCAGACTTCTACTCAGCCACTTGGTGTCCTCTCTGTCATCTCTGAAGATGTTCCCTAAGGACGGGGAAGTGTGGTGGTAATCTAATTGTACTGAAATGTGATTTTGATTGTATGTTAA